AACGAGCAAGACCAGCACGGAAGTATTCTATGTTACAACATTCTGTAATCACAGAATCACAGAATATTAGGAGTTGGAAGGGACCTCGAAAGATCACCCAGTCCAACCCCCCGCCAGAGCAGGATCACCTAGACTAGGTCACACAGGAACACATCCAGGCAGGTTTTGAATATCTCCAGAGAAGGAGACTCCACAATCTCTCTGGGCAGTCTGTTCCAGTGCTGTCACCCTTATTAATGAGCATGTAATACAAAATATAATCTAAATATACACATAATTATATAAATACTGTGTATAAATAATAAAGCTTATTTTAGTGACTTCTCTAGTTAATCCTAAAATCCATTGCTTCTACCTGCATCACAGAATAGGGGTGGGTCAAGGTTCAACAGATTTCCTTTTCTTTGTAGATCAAGATCTGCCTTTTCCTGAACTACCACAGTCATATGAAAGAAAAAATATCTGTATGAAGCCATACTCCGAAAATTCTCAATTATTTTGAATAAATCTCCTTCAGGAGAAAAACTTTGCTACAACTGGAGTTCACAATGCATCTAGAATAGTTGCTCTTTTGGAAAAGTTGAACAGTTAATTCTTTCAATTGGTAAAGAGTACTAACAATTAGAATGAACAGGATATGTAGTGAATTACTTAAGAAAAGTTTCTGAAAGGTCAGTTTGCATCAGAAAGTCAGGTAAGAGCAAGAATATGATCTCTAATGTCCACCAATTCAAGATATGTGTCGATTGAGGCTCCCTTAGACTATGAAACACCATACTGAAGTGTTCTGAACTGATGAACCTTTGTCCCTGCACTGAATCTGAAAGAATTTACAGAAAAAAACCTGGGAAATGAAAGAGGCTAGCTTAGAGTGAAACCCACAATCAATGCCCTGAGAGCTCTAAATTCCACATGTGATTCCTTTTTTTGATTGTGGGTAGATCCTGAGTTGGAAGAAGGTGAGAAAAAAGGGTTCTATTTTATCTTCTTTTTAACTGCTATTAGTAAAATATACTTTCAGATTCTTAGACAAAGAAGGAAACTACATTAAAGAGGAAGGAGGCAATAATTGTGACGTGAACACACTCTATACCTAAATATTTGATAAACCAAAGAAAAATATCCCCAAAATATTAAATTTCATGTAACTAATATTTTACAAATATCAGTAAGAAGCTACAGGTGTGAAGAAATGTAGTTTAAGAGAAACCTATGAATCAAGCAAGGTAATTTGTCAACACTGTAATAAGGCTAGTGCAGTAACTACTGCAAACATCACTTAGCATGAAAGCCTGTATGCCTTATAAATCCCTTCAACACCCACAAAATATTACATAATAATTTTCACTTCTTGAAACAAATGAAAGCATTATTCCTATTTGATATCATCATGCTGCTGCAAATACAGGATCTAAATTACTTCATAGAGATTTACAACATTTACTATTAAGAAGCATAAGGTTACATTACTTTCTTTAGTATGACCAAAAAACATTTGCAGAAATATTTGTTCAAACAAAATACAGTATTAAGTTTGAAATAAAGTACTCTTTGTTTGCACAGGTGATACACTTCTCTTGACTAACTGAGCATTTTTAATTTCAATGCAGGTTTCAACCATCAACCATATGCAATGGACTTCCCGCTCTCCAAGTAACCTTGACATATATGGCTATTTGCATTACATTAATACCATAAAATATATTTTCAACTGTCACCACCATTCAAGTGTTAGCTGTCATCAAATAATTCAGAGCAATAATTTGCAGCACACCAAACTAATGTTATTACAATTTAAATGTTGATTTTTACTTGCTATTTTTAAAAAATTTTATTTCTAGAGTACATGATATATACTAAAAAACTGAAAGTCTACTTCAGATGATACTGCAAATTTCTCAAATCAGAAAAAGAAAATTTGGGAATAATTGATGGTAGAAATTCAATAGTGTTTAGCTAGAGTTAGATTCATTCTCAAGCCTTCTCCACTATGCATGTTCTGCAGACTTCTCCAAAGTATCTTATTTGTTTTTCTTGATGAAATTATACTATACACAGCCACACCAAGACATAAGTGATGGTTCATACTAGAGATCCAAACTTATGCAAGCACCATTAATTTGTCCAAACTGTCGCCTAAATGTCACTGACAAAGCATGAGTAAAAAGCTCAACTTTTACTTCAGCAGAAATGTTTGAAACCATGCATTTGAACAGATTTGGTTTATTATGCCCTATTAAATGTTAATTTGCTTTACCTCAGGTTTTACACACAAACAGCAGAGAAGAAAGTTATTCCCCTGGTATTCAGTACACCAAATACAAAATTGCTTTAATCTGATTATGACCCAAAGTCATAAATTTCACATACAAACATGTTTCAGCTATGCTTTAAAGAAACGACTTGTATCTTTCAAAAAGCTGGTTAGGATATTTGAAGAAACATTCTTATTTTGCTGAAAACAAATCATATAGCTCCACATGATCCTAAGAGGAATATTTACATGCATACATATCTTCCAACTATATATTTCAATTAGTTTCTTTTCCAGTTTTATGTTTTTTAAGGTCTATTATTACCTTATATCCAGGTCCTAACTGATGTATTGCAAATATCTGTGCCGGGTTGAGTGCTTCAGTGAATACATATACTGCTCCAAGCTGGCCACAGAACACTCTGTTAGCATCAGCAGTCTCCGAAGAGCCAAGAAAACATTTATCATAGCTCTGTATCAGAAAGAGGCAATGTTAATGAAGTTTAGTCACAGAAACTATACAATGAAATAATACTCATATACAGCTACTGAAGCCAAAAAATAAAGAGAGACTGTAATTAAGAAAATAAATCAATCATTTAGTACTTCAGTACCTGATCTCCTATAGTGAACAACTTCATTTTGAACATGGTAGCATTGTTTTACAGGTCAGTATTACAGTGCTGTTATGACTGGCTGCTAGGATTTGGTTTTTATTAATTGATTGACATACAACAGAAAAAATTAGAACAGTACCTTCAAGTACCAAATAACCTACCCTATTGCCTTCTAGGAAATAAGAAAGCCTTGAAGTACCTTGAAACTATCATCAGAACTCCCACTGCTAACACATGAGAACACATGCTGAAATGCACTCTTTTTTCATCATTGTACTAAACACCTCTAGCAGAAAAAAAAATAAACACAAATTTTTCTACTTTGCAACTGGTGCAAAGTCATCTCTATGACCACAGCCTGTAATGATTGGGTTGACATTAAACTCCTCTTCTGTCTTCCACAGTTCCAAGAGCTGTCACTTTCCATTCCTCCTTTCAACAACTACCACTCTGCATAAAGACCTTTTATTTTGTTACCAATTTAGATATATTTTGCAAGAATTAAGTTAGGTTCTTCTGGTCCTTCCTTGAGTCATATGTACCTTATTTAATGGAAACAAGGATCAGGCCTCACTTTTTGAGCTGAATCAGCAAACCAGTAGAGTCTGCATTAAGAAGTCTGCTTTTTCATCTTGCTTGGTTGATGAGTTTTACCCCAAGAAAATACTTTTGTCAGTCTGGAGAATGGAATCAAATATGGTGAACTGCTACAGCAACTGATCTAGGTGGGTAAATTATTAACAAGGAAGAGGGCACTCTGTCTAAAGAGTTAGGAGGAAGTCAAATATCTGGAGCTCAGCTTTGCAAAGAGGTGAGGTAAGAAGTACCCAGAATTTTGTCTCTGATTTATCCTCCTTTTCACCAAATACCTCTTCTAATTTTGTTCCCTTGGAATTTCTAATTTTTTGTCTAATAAAACTAAAAAATTTGTGAAAATACTACATTCAAACTGATTCACAAAGTCATATCCAGGATGCTCAGTGCAAAAGATGGGCTATGAGTACTGGAAAATCTAATGGTGAAACTTCCGAACAATTTTCAGTTAGTTTATTAAAGTCTTGCTTAGCCTTGAAGGCTTTACTGACACCTGTGTCATTACAGTCAATTCATGTTGAGACATTCTTAGTGCTCATTTGAGGAATTTGTTTGAGCTACTGATGCCATCCTTTTCCCCACCTATTACAAGAGTAATTTCCTGGATTCTTCTAGTTATCATTAACTGTACAACAACTATTGCAGTTTTCAACTAATTCTGAGTTTTACATATAATTATATTCTAGGTCTGTTAACCTGTACTAATTTCCATTTCTGTCTTTTTTTCATTCTTCCCAGATTACACTTTCTCAATTTCTGGAGCTTCAATCTGGATTAGGTGTTTCCGTGATTTTTAATTGGAGTAGAGGGCTAACTCCTGATTTTCTGGTAATATTTATTCACTTCTGTTCCAGATGCCAAACAATGCATAAACCTGATTTATTTATTTATTTACTTAACAACAGCACCCAGTACTCATAGCTCATTTGATCTTCCTCCAACTATCTCACATTTCTAGTTTTAAACCTGCTGGACATTAACTGATCCAAATTTGTTTGCCTATTTCTGTGCATCCCTGAAAGTATGTCATTAATGACCCCAAGATGATCTGATTGACAGATCTGCCTTGGTCCAGATCTTCCTATTTTATTTACATTAAAAATTAAACTTTTGGGATTCCTAGACCTTGTTACTTAAGGACAAAATTTTATCCTAAATAATCTCAATGCTTATATGACTTCTTTCAAACACAGCCCGAATGCTAATGATGTCATTAATCTGTTGGTTTTTCACCACATGTCGACTTTTATAAACCTTCTATAGTTTCCTTATCCTACAATGGAAAAGTAAAGTTCTGTGAAAGGTGTCGGGACATCATCAAGTCTATCTTCATCCAGCTATCTGAACAAAAATCTTCCACCAAACCTCAGTATCTCCATATTCTACATGCTTAAGAGAAGTTTCATGCTTTCTCTCATGTTACTTTCCACAACTGGGGAAAATTCCTAATTTAACAGCTGTAATAGCCAAACTTCCAATTTAACTTCCATCTCAAAGTATACTTGATCTCTGATAAATCATTAACCCCATAAGGCATACAGAGCTGATCATGCCAGCTCAATGGCTGACCAGATAGCAATTGCACACATTTGATTATGTTATAACCTGTCATGCATTTCACTTCATCTTTTCATCATAATCTCCTTAGAATATAAACTCAGTGAACTATTTACCACTAGCTACTGTATCATGCGTAGCACCCTAAGACAATGAATCTCAGCATTGCTATGGTTTTTATATTTCATTAACAGCAATAATGAAGTCAAAGCTAAATACGGCTCTATGGAAACAGCATATCAGCAGCATTGGCAACAGAAACAGCTATACAGGGAAGTCTAGACTGTCTTCCCCTTTTTCATCCACACTCATATCTTTCTTCTAATATTCAGGCTGAACATTGTGCAACATTTTTAATACATGGAAGTCCCCTCAATAAAAAGAAAAATCTTGAAGAAGGTTAGAGTGGTGTAGAGTTTTGCATACATAACACATTTTGTAAATCGCTAGACAAAAACGTGTTTAGTAAGACAACATACATTTGTGAAGAATATGGGTGTGAAGCCTTAATGTCTATTTCACGTAATATTCTACATTTTGCTGCCTGTATTACAGAAACAAGTAAGAATCTAGTGAGTTCATGGCTATGTATAAATAAGAATGAACTAGAAAAAATACAGAAAAAATCATTAAAAATATTTAAAAAGCATCTTTTAAAACTGCCACCCTTTTTGTCATCTGCACATTTACTGCAGTGTCTTCCAGAGCACATATGAAAATTGTAGATTGAGGTATTCTTCAGTTCTTGTTTGGATATAAAAGGTAAATGTCAGATATTTTAAAAAACTCTCATAAAAATATAACAGAATCATAATGCAAGAGCAATCTGGGAAAAAAGTAAAATAAAATAATTCACAGTCTCTACCAAGAAAAAAATCTATGCTTAAAAAAAATAAAACTCAGTTCTTTAATCTTAAACTCCATAATGCAAATCTAATGAATGCTTTATTAAACTAAAAAATACTTAATCATAATGCATTTTGTTCAGTGCTAGCTTTGACACAGTGAGCAACTGAAAAATCTTGTCTTCATTATACTTACTGTTTTAAACCCTACATCTCAATTATCTTACAATGTTCTTGTATAAGAACATACTGAAGCGTCAGATGCACTTAGTTAACATGCAGTTCCTTCCCTCCATTTTCACTATCTGTTTTTGCAACCTGTTAAATCTATCAGTACAGTCTATTTTAAGAGTTATGCACAATATATGATGTAAAGAACAAAGAATGATTTGCTGACTTGCATAGTTTTTTTCTCTTTCCCCAAAGCTGTTATGGTAAGGTATTTTTTTGTCATCTTGCAGGAGACTAAAGTTATAATGAAGTGGAAGGGCTAGATGGCAGAGGTTAACAAATAAGCTGGATAATTGCTCAAGTCTTTTCAAGGTAATACTTTTAACAACTCAACCTTTTTATGAAACAAGAAGGTTCTAATAGAGTTAAAAATGTAATGTGTAATAGTGCTAAGGAGACTATGGACACACTCCCCTACTTTTCCTTTATGCCTCTTACACACATTCATACAACTTTCCTGAATTTCTCCTACTTTATATTCTATCTCCTACTTCTGATATAACATATTTTTGTTATTAAAAAATAGAGAGCTAATGATAACTAGTGTCTTTCAGAACTTAGTCTATTCTCCAGCAGACAAATTAAAACCTCAACAGAAACTTAAGACTTGTATCAAAACATCTAAAGCTTGGTAAACCAATCCCACCTTAAGAAAAGACTGTACTTCTGTTACATGAGAAAGTAGAAAGGAACACTGTGAAGAAAATATGAATAGGAGGAGCAGCTCTTTCTGCTAAGCATTTCTCATTAAGGGTTACAGATCTCCACACGATATAACTAGTGACTCAGCCAAGATCCTATGAGACCTCAGCTGGCTTTTCAGTCATCATATTCTCACCTATCACAGAAATGTTTATATTACCAAGGGGAAACCATGCTCTGTGACAACAGAGAGGTTTGCCTTTTCTTGCAATTAGATACACTACCATGAAAAGAATGATGATTAGAAGCTTTGGCAAGCAGAACCCTTCTCCTTTAGTTAACATGTAATATTTAAACTCTCTCTTTCAAATCCAATTTTGCCTCTAGAATTTAGCAAAAAACAGTTAATTTCCTTAAGTATAAAAGAGCTTCCTTATCCCATACAGGCAGAAGGAAACAACTTAAAGTCATATTATAAATAAGAAATAAGAAATAACAAAAGTGTAGCAAGCTGACAAAGAAAACACCTCTGAAAGTCTAGTGCAGCTTTAACCGAAGGCAAAGCACAAGATTATCATTTTGTCTGCCTTCCCCATCCAAAACTTTGGGCCAGAAAGAGCGCATATTTTCTGCATCATTAAGTGTAGACTGTCAAACTTACCAAATGAGGAGGTATGAAAAGAGAGCACAAAATAATTTTTGAAACTTACACAGATTTCATTAAAATAATTTAAATATGAAAAATATGGAAACAGATGCATTTCCTGTAAGAATATATTGTTAATTTGAATTCAGTCCAATTAACAGACAGAGGTGTTTTTACAGATATACATGCAAGCAGACAAGGAAACACAGGATCACAGTGTCTTTGCTTTGAGTTGACTAATGCTATGCAACTGTATGACCCTCAGTATCTTTTAACTGGTTTGGATGGCCAATGAGACGGAATATCTCTCTCTAAAAGTTTAATACTCAAGAAAATTGCTTACTATTTCAGGGATGAAATTTTGTAGCAGTCAATTTGTACTTGTTAACGATATTAATTAAATATTAATAACTTAATACTTAACACAACATTTTTAATATTGGTCAACTGCCTACTTACTAATGTCAAGTCAAACAATAAAAGGCAAAATACACTTGTTACTGGGAGACAAATTTAAAACTTCAGACATTGCTTAATACTATAAATCTCTTGACACTTCTCCATTACTTTTTGTCTTTCAATCTATCTTGTCAGCTTAAAACTGTAAACTCTGCCTACAAGAAATGATCTCTTACAACACTACTGTTGCTTTAAACAATATGACTCTGATCATAGTTCAGGCTACTTAGTTCTACTGCAATTAAAAAACCTACTTAAAATTTAGTGTTCAAAAACACAAAAAGCATACAAATCTTTTAAGCATTAACAAATATCTCCTCCTGGATCGAACACAGAATTTACTGTGATACAAAAATGAGTACTTTTGTATAACTTGGCAGTATGTATAGTCATTTGGCAGAATGAATCAGGTTTTTTTAAGGACTTTTCTTAATCTAATTCTGTAAAATCTATAACTCTACCATATTTTTCTATGGAAAAAAGCTAAACATTAATCCATTGTTATCCGTGTCCTCTATACGTTATCACATTACAAAAATACTAGCTTTAACAGTCTCTCCAAACAAAAGCTCTGAAAATTTCATTAAAACAGCTATATAAAATGCAGCCAAAGAAACCTCTAATATTCTAAAAAATATTAATATATAAAATCAATAATATTATACTTAAGTACATAACTAAGGAAGATCAATTAAAGGAGAAAGTTAAAAAAAGATAGAAAATTTGCAAAGATCTAGAGAAAACTTTAAAATGAAAATCCGTGAGAAAGGAGAAAAAAATATCTTACATCATTTGTGTTAACATGCCAGGCCATGTCACCATACGATACCAGCTGGCCATTCACATAACATCGTATTTCACTGTTTCGCCATCGATTATAGATGTGTACAATGCTTATCATGTACCACTGGAAAGACATGGAGAAACAGTATATAATGGCAATCTTTTGTGCTATAAACCCCAAAGTTAATGAATAGCGTTAAAAATAAGCGATCAGTTAAGTTATGCAAACAGATGAATCCTTAGAAACTTGTAAAATTAAAAGTCAAGTCAGTGAAACTTAAAGTTCAGTCAGTAGGAACCATGTACCTACCTGCATACCTTTATGGGATTAGAGTCACAAATGCATACATACAATTTAAAAGTTGAATACACTTCCATTCCTGAAAGTGCAATTTAATTTAAAAACTATGCACTCTAACACAAAGTACAACTGAGTTCTAATGGGAAATCCAGTTCTATGTGCACTTACCTTAACAAATTCATATCATATATCTCTGCCTTTTCATCATAGCTCTCTGTCAGAAATCATTTAATAAAAGGAAAAAAATTCACAACAACAAACTTTAGAGCCCAGCTTACGATGTCATCCTGATTACTTCATAACATTTTTTGGTGTTCTTTATAATTTCACCAATTTTTGGACAACTGACATATCATTAAAAATGGATTATATAATCAAACATAGAAAGCATCAGAGTTAAATACTTCCAAGTACAACTATTGTGATCTTTCAAATAATCTGTTCAACAGGAAGCATTATGTCCATGATGAGTAAGATGAAGAAGAAAACCCTAAGTTTCCTTTAAAACTGAACCTTTAAATTAATACAAGACTACGAATGGAAATTTAATCTTTAAGATCTGCAGATCAACTCAACTATACTGGATGTCTGTATTATTTCAAAACATATACAAACCAGATGAAAATGGACATACTGGAGAAAATCCAGAAAGGGCCACAAAGATGAGTCAGTGATTGAAGCCCCTAACACATGAGGAGAGGATGAGATATGGGTCTGTTTAGCCTGGAGAATAGAATGCTCAGGGAGATCTTATCCATGTGTATAAATACTTGATGGGCAGGGGATGAAGAAGATGGAGCCAGAAACTTCTCACTAATATCCAGTGACAGGACAAGAACCAAAGGGCACAAAATGAAATATAGGACAGTCCATTTAAACATATGCAAGAAGGGTGATAGCAAGCACTAAGGATAGTCAAACACAGGCACAGGCTGCTCAGAGAAACTGTGGTGTCCTTGCTTGGAGGTATTCAAAGCCTGACTGGACAACAGCCAGCGCAACCTGATCTAGGTGTCACTTCTCTGAATAGGGGGTGAGACTAGACTGTTTCAACACTTCCCTGCCCAATCTTATTGATTCTGTGAAAAAGTCAGCTCATCTGCCTTGAAAACACCATTTCATATTTTAGTAATTTGGAATAGTAATTTACAATTTACTTGTCTTCGCTTTCTTGGTACCTGTTTCAATTATTATCTTTATTTTTATGTTCAGCTAAGTCTCCTTTTTTCAAAGCAGAGAACTTCTGCATCCCTCGGCATTATTTTAATAAGTCACTTGGTGACTCTCTCCCTGAGGTGGGGTAAATAGATACAAAGCCTACTAATATGGAAATCTGCCTCTCTGTATCAGAGAAAATAAAAGCAAAATGTTTTCACACGTTGATTTTGAAATCAGACAGAGCACAGAATTACAAATAAAACAAGCATGCAGAAAAATATATTTTGAGAATAATCGTTGCAGTAGTCCTCAAATTAAGCTATGTTCTGTTATACTTCTATCATGTCTATATATTAGAATACACATTTTTCCACATCTGTTCCTAGTTCTTTACAAATTTATTCTCATTTTCCCCCCTTAAAACCTACAGTTAACAGAAGGGTCAAAATCTCCTACTAATCATAGAATCAGTAAGGTTGCAAAAGACCTCTAAGATCATCAAGTCTAACCATCAACCCAACACCACCATGCCCACTAAACCATGTCCTGAAGTGCCATGTTTACACGTTTTTTGAACTGACTCCATCAGTTCCCTGGGCAGCCTGTTCCAACACTTGATTGCTCTTTCAGTAAAGAAATTTATAGAACATATGACGTAGATCATACAACAGTACATAAGAGTATCTCACTTCTTTCATATCCAAGTAAAAAGAATTATTGGGTAATACTAGATTAAAGATGTACTGCTACAGCTTTGGTTTCTGAAGTCATGTGTGGCCAGTCTAACATTATTTTTTATTTCATGAAAAAATGAACAAGTATTTTTTTGTAGGCCACTCTCCCTCCCCTCAAAAAATCTAAAAACAAATGCACAACTCAGTAAGCAAATGTTGTTCCCCATTTTGTAAGCAGATTCTATTTCAGAAAGGAACAACCATCATAAATTCAACAAAATATTCATATCAGAACATCCAGAAGCTTAACTGGTGACTATGCTAATCAGAAACTAAGTGCAAACTGCACGATAGAGCTCTGCTTTCATCACTTCTTTTCCATGGATTCCATACCACCTAACATAAATCTCTTAGAAGAAAAATTCCCTTCTCCTCCTTCCTTCAAAGGTTAATTTACCAGTAATCTTTACTAAGTGATGATGAATTTAAATACTTTGATGATTTTAATACAGGAGGCATTTTTTCCAAAAGTACTACTCTAAATTGTACCTTTTAAAACTATTTACTAGTATTTCCAGTTCTGATATTTTTCTAGCAGAAATCAGCTTATAACCATAAGCCCCAAGTTTATTCCACTTATCTTCTATCTGTGATTTTTAATTCAGAGAGGTTTAAAGAATTTCTGACAACATACCAGTTCGGAAGACTGTCCCTGTGTGTAGCTTAAGCATAACAGATGACTCATTCACTTGGAAATAAACAGTTCATTACTTTTGTTGAAACACTGCCCACAGAGCAATGCTATCCTGGGAGAGTTCTGTTGTCCATGTCAAACTTTAGGAAAATTATATAACCTACTTTTTAGAATCTTTCCCCCTCCATGCTAACTACCATTCAAGCACATGCAATTTATTTTAGTCCGAATCTCCTCTCTTCCATGCAATTTTTTTTGCATTTTTAGCACTGATGCTATGTCAGAGCACTATCTATGTCTGTTACGCTGACATACAAGGCAAGCGCACATACACACACGTGCACGCATGTGAGTCTATCTCAGCTCATTACCATAACTAACACATTTAAAAAATAGCTTTTTTGCCTCTTGCACTTGAATTAACTCAATTTACATTTTAAACTGTAATTTCTTTTTAGCCAGGGAAGTATTCAAGTATTAAAAAATGGTTTAGTCTTTATGTCCTACTTGTCACCAGTATAAATCTACATAAAATAAGTAACAAATGTTTTCAAAGCTAGTTTGAAAAATAGAAGATTACAAACTCCACGAACTTAAGTCCAGAATGCATTCTCATCAAAAAGAAAATAAATGTCCTTCCTAGATTCATGCTTGCTCACTTGACTTATACCCTTCCCTCCCTGCATTTTAAAGAATATAAATTCTCGTATTGTATAATAGTATAATTTCTTTAAGGTTTTCAGAGGAGTATAACCTCTGAAGTTTCTGAGGAGTCTACACAGTGTGTATCAAATGGCTCACAAACCTGTTCTTATACACCGTAAGAATCCTTCAAACAATTCAACGGAAGTGGGGGAAAAGACTTCCCATGTAACAGTGCATTTCCTACTTAGTTACTGATCTTCAGGGCACAGACAATTTGTTCTTTATTGCTACAATGAACTTACTTATCTGATTAGGATAAGTCTTTAGTACCAGGCATCAACTCAACCATTAACAAGACCTGCCCCACTGTCACTCATAACTGTAAGTACTATTTGAAACGAATTCCCACTGACAGTCAAGTCAACAAAGCTTTTGATATTTCTGTTATGTTAATAACCTCATTTAAAATAGACATTCCAGTCTCACTTTTATTTTTTTAGATATGTAGAAGCAAGCATATATGTATGTCTCATAATTTCCTGTAAATTTACCACTTAACACGTCTTAAAGTTTTAAATTAAATTACATATTATTCTGTCAATGGTGTCATATGACATAGTAAACAGTGGAAAGATCTTCACACAAACATAGTATCTTTCTAATCTGTCTACATGAAGTTTTTGACCAGGTGGCTTGAACAAATAATTTTATTGTGGTTAAAACTGAAACAAAACAACATTATTCAGAAGTTTAAGGAGGATGATGCTTCTGGCAAAAGCTATTGCTGAAATGTCAATGTCTGGAAGCAAACGGCTAGAAAAAGGTATATCTGATAAAAATCACACTTCTCTAGTTAGCGTTTGGACACCGAGTTGCTTTGTAACAGAGTACACATTTTTAAATACATATCTACACATTTAGTGTTTGGACAGTGGAACCAATGTAATACCTAAATAACATGAATAAAATAAATCTATATGTTATGCAGGATATGTTTAGACTTGCTAGAACCAGGAATTGTATGTGACAAGTTTTCCTTCCTCCATTATTTATTAATAATATCCCACATACATGTACACACACATTACTAATGGAAAAAAAAATCTTATGAAACCACTTGCAAATATATTCTAGAAGATTTATTTAAAATACTTTCTAAATCTGACAAACAACCCAAAGTGTATGAAGCACTATCCTTGAGAAATATAAAAACAGCATGGAAGTTATAATTGGACATACTGCAGCAGATCATCAGATTATGATGTGAAACTGATATTCATACAATGAGATATACATATAATAGTATTTCAGAATGAACTATTTTAAGTAGAACAGCAAGAGCTAAGTTTTTTCAGGGTTGTCATGAAGGAATACTATTATGAAAAGAATATCTTGCTAAAATATGAAAGACTGCTTCTTCATCAAGTAAAGAAATTATCAGCTAGGTCCCAAAAGTCAGTTAACAATAACAAAATCCAAAAGTTAACAATTCCATTTTTTCCTAGTTTGAATGTTTATCAGTAGCACCAGACGTGCTACTGTAAAAGAAAACTGAACTGCCATAAAAACTCTTTTCTGGTTATAAAATCAAATAAAATTTGCAAAATAGAACTGATTCATTTCAGTACACTCAGCAGATACGTGTTTATGAGGCTTTATAAATCCCTGGATAATATGCTAGAAAAATACATCACTATGTTTTAAAAAAACACAAATGACCCCAAAGCTACATGACAGAATTAGAATAAGTGATTTCGAATCACAAATATATACCAAAAAAAAAATAGTAGAACATAAAGCTGATGAGTGAACAATGGCATTCTCTCCCTAAGAGACTGGTTTCTCAAAACCGAACAAGCACTGAAATTTAACATACACTTTCTAAGGCCATAAAAAAAGAAATGAGCTTCACAGCAAAATATATACAAGACTGTTATCAATGACAAACACATAATGCTTATGGTACAGAAAAGTCAATGCTTCAGCCAACTAACTGAAATATTGAAGCCAGCAGAATCATTGTTCTCCTAGGACTACTATGCATACAGTAGAAATGAACACTAATATGATCTAGAGAAATAATCAAGATTTACTATGAAAAATGAGAACTCTCAAAATTCCAGTGACATAGAAGAAAGTTCAGAGCCTTATATCTCCCAGCAACAGCTAAGAAAACTAGCACTGCCAGCAAAAATTGTTCCAGGCATTGGCACCAAAGTTACCAAGTACAGAACGTTCAGAAATAGAATGATGACCTTTTAAAAAGAAAATACAACCATTTTACAAATACTGAAAATTCTTCTCTAACTGAAGCTAATTAAGCAGTATTTAAAAAAAACAAACCCTGAGTTTATAGAAATCTTATTTTATAAATTATTACATTTTTCTTGAATTGATTCTGGTCTGTAACTGTCAAAAATTTGCATGGTCATCAGAGAAACTAATTAAGAAATTATAGATCATTAGTAACACTATGGCACTAAAGAGTTTTTAGCACTTATTTGCAGAAATTTGTCACATTTTCAATACGTTCTTTATTGTGAATACCACGTAGCTTACCTTGCGTGGCTGGAAGTCATACTTCACACAGTGCTGGAAACCTTTGCCTTTCGACTTCAGTGATGTAACTATCAAGCAGTTGCCAACAAAATGAGCAGAATACCCAACACCTTTGCTAGTGCGGAAACTGAAAAGAAAGAGTTTTCAATGAAATTGGAAGTAAAGGAATAATTGCATAATAAAAGAAGTTCAAAATACTAGTTTAAATAGCTATAAGAAAGAAAATAAATTAGTATCTGGACTTGTGAACTTCATTTCCTGTTTCCTTACCAATTCTTCAGGGAGAGCTACTAGTCTTCACCTCTAACTTGATTCCAGGACATTCTGAAAACCATTACTTTGGTCGTTGTTTTTTTTTACATAAATCTAAGATGGTAAATACTGTATCTGTCAGGTTTTTCCCTAGGTTTCCCAATAATTTAAAATAACACATCTGATTTAAGCTGTAAAGAAAAATCCATCACAGAACAAGCATGAGGTGCCTTGCAATTTGATGGGGTTGGGAGAACAATGCAGCTGCTATGACATACCAGTCTGGACTCAATATAATTACAACGCACAAGACTTATTTCTTTTTCAAGACTTATGATTTAGTTAGGCTAATGATCTATGAAGCTTTAACCATAGGAGTTTTGGATTTATTTTCATTTGTCAAATTGATTAAGGACTGCAATTTTTACAAAGTAAGTTTCCAGCTTTTCTATGACAAATAACATAAAGACAGAAAAGGCATAAAGCTCTTACATTTATCTAGTTATATTTGAAAACAAAAGCATTGTTAAGAGAAATTCTGGACTTCTTAGAAGACATTTTGCACAGACAGCTGGTGGAAATTCATGAATGACATCACAGAGACCACTTTTAAAAAGGTAAGCCCATATCTACAGCTATGTAATTTATTCCCTTCTGAAAGGCTAAACACAATAAAAAGAAATCTGCAATCAGTAATATATAGTAATACAGTAATATATATTTTAAATGTATATATTTTATATGTGTAAAAACTTTATACAGTTTTTAGACTATTTTTAAAAAACCTTGTTACCATGTTAGAAAAATAAACAGTGGGTGAAATACAAGGTCTAAATGGTGAACATCCATAAATTCTGAGAAAAAGCTTCTCAAGTGTAAGAAAAAAATGACACTACTAATTTTGAACATTTGTATATACTCCTGTAGCCCACTAATTAACACTTTCTCATTTCCCTAATGTAGGCGACTTATAAAATAATTACATATTTTTATAATAATAATGTTTTAAATGGTTTAATTGTTGTAAGAGTTTCATTAAACACTTATTAGGTTTACCATAGCAACATTAAAAGGTGAAAGGCACATGTAACACTAAGTTCAGATTTCATCTTACCTAACAGCTGCTGAAATTCTACCTCTTTCATCTACCCTACTATATAAACACAATCTTGATTTTAATATGCAGAAAAACTGCATAGTTATAGACCTAGTTTCATCTTCAGAAACTTACAGTTAAATCTGTATGTTTATATTAATGAAGGAGAGAAAGAGATTTTCCTCTTTCCTCACCATAAAAATGTAGCTGATAAACAATGAACTTCCAAAAAGAAGAAACACCTTACAAGATAGGTGGTGTGAATATAACCTGAGGTGGTCTGAGCTTTCATGTTCTTCTCCTATGAGAGAATTTTTAAAGCAGGGCCTCTTTACCAGAGAGTGTAAAGACGGGACAGAGACTAATGGTTTTAAACTGAAAGAAGGTAGATTTAGACCAGATATTAGGAAGAAATTCTTTACTGTGAGGGTGGTGAGGTACCGGAACAGGTTTCCTAGGGAAGCTGTGGATGTCCCTTCTCTGGAAGTGTTCAAGGCCAGTTTGGATGGGACTTTGAGCAACCTGATCTAGTGGGAGGTGTCCCTGCCCATGGCCAGGGGGGTTGGACTGGATGATCATTAAGGTCCCTTCCAACCTAAACCAAATGCTATGATATGAATCTATGATCTCTGGTCATCAAGACGGTTCTGTTGGCCTTGAGGCATGGCTTGGTTTGCTCTTTGCCTTTAACAACCTGTTAAGGTGTTTCAGAAGCTTTATTTTCTCAAATTCATTCTGTGGGTTTCTCATTCTTGTATCTGCCTTTATATGTCTTACACTATTCTTCCTCTCCTCAAGCTGCTGCGGTGAAAAGGAGCATTATTCCCACTCCCTGCTACAGCCCTTTGTACAGGCTTCCACACAACCCTCCTGGGAAAAAAAGGCACTCTTTTAATAAATCTAAAAAATCCTCTCTATATAAACCTAAGATATACACTAAGAATGAGAAAAATCACATACTGTCCACCACCAGTGACCTCAACAATGATACAATTTCTAACACTACCATACATCTTTTGAAGACTATTTTTAACATGGATCATTTCAATGATCTGGCTTCCACAATGACCCCATAGGCAGCTATAGCCCACAAAAAAAAGGAACAGTGAACAGCTTCATGGGAGAAAATGACTCATATACATATATAACTTGCACTACACAGACACAACCTGCACAGCCACAGTACTGAATTTTGTACAATAACATGAAGGTTAAAACTCTTAAAATGCAGGTTGTATGATAAGAAAAACAGAATGTGCTCTAGGCCAGTTTGAGACTTCGATTTACCTCCTTAGGGTTTTATGCCATCTAAAGAACTTTCTACCAGGTAGCTGCATCTCTCACAATGCCAGATTTGTTTATCAATAACATAAGACATCTTTACAAGCTAAAATGTTTTTGGCTAACAGAATACTATTCTGAAGGATATTGAAAAAATACAGAGATTCAATACATTCTGACATATTGTGCTGTATTTTTTTTACTAGATGTCAAATAAAATGTTTGGGTTTTTCTAAAGCTACCAACAGCCAGTCATTGTAAATACCATCACATTTTTACCTGATAAAGCCCTAAAACTGTGTAAATTGCATCCTACTACTTTGAACATAGACTGAGAACACTGTATAGAAAAAAAGAATGGGTCTTGAAGAAATGTCTACACCTTTAAGATTTTTCCATTTCCTAACCACCCCCACTAGTTACTGGGTTGATTTTGTCACCATTATGGTCAAACCATTCTCTTAGTGAAATTTTAAACACTGAATTGACCTTACATGTGTAACTTCCTGGAGTTCAGCGCAGGAAAACAAGAAATTAAGTAATGAAAAAACAGCTGATTTCTTAGCAGGACTCTTAATCTTGAAATAAAATGAATTATTTTCTAAACATGAAGCTTAGCCAAGATTTTACCTTTTTTGCCCTAATGAATTAGGATTCTAGTATAATTGTAGTTGAGAAACAGAGAACTCAAATATATTCTTTGTTTACCAAAACATTATAATAAATAGATTATGTTATTCTTCACATTTTATTGCTTACCAAAGGTAAAGTAGGCTAGGACTGGTCTCTAGGATACTGAACAGAAATTATCTTACCAATTACCTAACACATGCAAAGATGAAATGCATAGAGACAGCAAGAGCAGTACTGTCAACAACCATATGGTTTTATGAGTCTTTAACTGCCTCCTTTAGCAGCTGGTACATAATTTTACTACAGATCATTCATAGAATCCTTATAGCTATGTTTCATTTCAGTCAGTATCTCAAAGCAGCTACTGGATGTTACTACTCTTCAATAGCAGGTAAGCATTCTTTCACTCACAGGTTAAACTGTTAAGAGATCCCAGTTATTTTAGCTTAGGATTTTATGAGCAATTTAACATGCAGTCACTAATGAGATCAAGAAGACATTAATTTGTTCTTGTCTGAAGAAAAAAAAAAGGTTTATTTTCTACTAACTTTGGAATTCCATTTTGTGCTTTTGACACTGTTCTGCATGATCTCTATTATTATTAGCTCTAGAGAAGGACTGAAAAGTCTAGAGACTTGCTTTGTGTGGGTTTTTTAGTTTTATTGTTGTTGTCCTTACATCAATAAAAATAAGTTTAGAATGCTTTTTCAAAAGTTTTAGCCATTATTCCATTGAATGGCTGTGGAAGCACTTGGAAGCACACTAACGACAAAAAGCAACAATTATGGCAATCCAGCCTCAGTTCATCCTCTAATTCCTTTACAGAGCCTGATATACAATTTGAAAGAAAGCATCTCTTAAAAAAGCAAACAAACAAACAGAAAACCACCAAAAAATCAAACCAACACAAAAAACCATGCCAATCTTCATATCTGGATAGATTTTATCTAATTTCAGACCTTACTTAGAAGTAATGACACCCCATCTCCTGTTTAGCAGAAACAAGTAAAGAGATTTGTAAGACGGAGACTCCTCATTTGAGTGTGCTTAAGGTTAGCCATAAATTCCTAAATTTGCACCGACTTTATGACAATGAATCTGCTTCTCATTTTTGAGGAAACATTTCCAATGATCTGTTAAAATCTGATTATTATTATTATTATTATACTGTGTCTTATTATAATTGTGATAGTTAAATTGAACATAGTACTGAGTGTCTGAAAGTTCAAATTTTTCTATATTGCTGTCTACTTACTGGATTTCAGATTAAACAATCCATCAACATCAGATTTTGCATAACTTCTGAAAACAGAAGTCAAGAGATTGTGATAGATCTTGCTTATGTTCAATCCTCATCTATCTGCACAGCTGATATGCAGTTTTTAAGAATGTAAGAAAAGGTAATCATACTAAATAGCAAATACACAAAGAATGAAGAACTGCTGAAGAAAATACCAGCATGTCCTGACACAACAGAAGGTTCGTCATTTTCCTCATACCTTTATCCTTTAGATAAGACAACTATACTTGAGCAGATATATGATTAATTTCTCAAGTAAAAAAACATTTTTCATGATTGACCAATAGAATAAATATTTTTATTTTCATACTATAATTTCTAAATATCAAAGGACTTTATTAAGGATGAAACTATTTCTGTTTTTCATCTCATCAGTTAACCTAAGTAAACTAAAATTGTCTCTCCTGCAATTACTGTATTAGGAAAAATTCATGGATTTATAAATTGCAAAGCAAAATGGACAGATGACTTTTTAAGAGTCTGTATACAGTAAGTAGCCATTATCTGCAGGTCTTTGTAGGGCAAAAAGCATGTCAGAAACTGAAAATAATGAAAAAGAATAATGGTCATTAGAAATCCAAAACAAACCATACCTGCGGCGTTATAAGCTACTTACCAATAAAGATAGGGTTTATCCTTATCTACATTGATATTGTTTAGTGGATCCATACGAAACCAGGTGTTAAGAGTAAACCCATTTTGATAAGGCCACTTAGCAATAGGAGGCAATGCAATTGCCTGAGGGAGAAAGAAAAAAAAACAACAACAAAAAAACAAAAGAAGAAAACAGCAAGTCAAAAAAACAAATTTTTTGAGAAGTATCATTAAAAGGAACGCCTTCCTAAAATTCTGTCATTTTCAATCAGCAGATCTGATCTAACTTTTGAATATTAAAGAACATAGAAAACCCTCAAATAGTGTTTTTCAATAAATGCATTAGTTTTCCATTATTTTTAAACAACTTTAATTTTTAACTACATAAATTCTACAAATAAAAGACATGGAATTAAATTTGTGAATACACAATATTAAGAGAAAAAGGAAAAATCACTTCTGTAGAAATTAAACCATAAATGCAGCTTTCATTAAGTACTCATCTCGTCAATAGACTTAAACATTAAGATAAAAAGAGCCTCAACAGATAGTACAATAGAGATTCTCTGTTAAAACTACAGTATAAAAAGGTTGTTCTTTGAGATTTAAGAGCACTTTTTTTCATTTTTTCCTACAAACAGTACGGCAAGAGACCAAAAATTTTATTTCCGTTCCCTGTCAAATTAATAGTAAGACATGGCCTGGGAAGAAATTTGATTCAGTATTTTATTTTTTTGGGCTGAGACTGATGAAGAGGTTGTAGAGAACTCTGATGTTAGGCACACTTTAGGAAGGAAATCTGACAAGTTGGACTTGCAAGGTCACTCACTAAATAAGTTTTTCAGTGATAACACTAAAACTAAAACCTTTTTTTCCCCTCAGTAGGATAACTAAACACAAAATGAAATAAATAAAAAATTTAAGAAATTAGATATTTGTAATAATTTAGAGACTACTGTAGTAGGCATTCATTACAATAAATTCTTTCTCCCCTCATCAAACAAAATATAGAATATCTTACACAAAAGTAGTTAAAGAATAGCAGCTTTTAATACTACTCCTTGCAATACTTTGTATAAGAATGCAAAGCAGAACCAAATAATTGTCTAAATAACTATAGAATGTTATCACGAAGTGTATTTAATGGGTATTTTTCAGCTTCAGTAAGGTAATTTAAGTTCTTACTACTCTTTAAAATAATGAAGGCTAGTTAGTTCTTGCACTGAACATGGCTCTGGGAACCCTGCTCTAGGTGGCCCTGCTTCAGCACAGAGAGGTTGGCCAATATGACCTCCAGAGTTCCCTTCCAACCTCAATCCTTCTGTGATTCTGTGTGATACTTACTAGTCACACCTGGAAATACTTTTTGAGGAGTGCTCAAGTCTTGTATATCTTGTCCTGATTCATACAGAAGACTACAATGAATTGTAGCAAACTCATTTACTACTTAAAATGATAACAAACGCAAGTCTTCTTGGAAAAGAGTCACAATAACTACACTAATACACTATGCCAATGTTGTCAATTAAGTAAAAACCAGCACAGACTAGGGCTGACTTTTAATTCTTTTTATACGCAAGAAAATTGCTGGAAGAATTTTAGAGCAGAGAACTTTATGAATCAAGAATGATAGGGAACTCACGGTAAATGTCATAATCGGATACAGCAATGTGCTCAGATTATGCTAGTATGTGATCAGACAAAAGAAATAACACCAATTCCGCTACTAGCTTGTACTGTTTGCTCAGTAGAAAACATATCAAGGAACTCCTTTGGGATATCACACTCCTCCCTCCTGAGAGGGAGTTCCCTGCCTGAAACAGGAAAACTGCTGCTTGATGACAACACGAACAACATCTGGGGATACTACCACTATCACAAGGTGTCCTCCTAATGGAGTGACTAATGTGCTACTTATACAGACTTGCAGAGAGGTAACACAGCACTGGGAAGAGCCCTTCAGTAGAGATAGGGAAGCAGATCTCAA